ACACACACATACACACACACACACACTCACTCACACACACACACACACACGACCCCCTGCCCATACCCCTGCGCCCTGCGCAAACGCGTTCAACGCGTTTAGGCGCGTTCAATGAACGAGTGTTCAACGCATTCAAAACATGAATGCGAAACGCGTGTTCATTGAACGGGTGACAACACAAGATTGCCCAGCAGGTTGCGCTCATTACGCGCGATCCCATCGGGGCTTCCGCACCGCCCTCTGCTGATGCCGTTTTTTATAGACGTGCTTGCATTTTCCGTCCAGGGACGATGACTCGGATGAGGAGCCGATACCTGAGGCAGCAGATGACCTGAGACGCACGACGATCCCGACCACGGAGACGAGGACACACACCGCACGATGGGCGGCGGACCGGGCGGACAGGGAGATGCTAGGGGGAGATGAGGATTTTTGGGGTCCTTTCAGGGAGGTGGTTTCCACGGGTGATGTGCTCGATGATGGAGTCAGGGGCTCGCATGCAGGCACGAGCCGCACAGAGGCGCGAATGACGACTCCTACTCTGACGAGGCGAGAGTCGTCCATGCCGCCACCTCCTGCTTCGAGTCCTGCACCACCATCGCATGTCTCCCTACATAAGCCGGACATGGCAGCGGCGGACACGAAGGAGTTGGCATCCTCCTTGCCTCGGCACCGACTTCTGCAAAGATTTGGGGTGATCCGCCAACTGAGGTTACAATCACCTTCCCCAGGGGTCTTGCAGGAGGAGGAGGTACCATAAACAACACCAATGGAGGGGGAGGTGGCTGCAATGGAGGGGGATGTAGTAGTGGCAGCAGCCGCAGCAATGGAGGGGGAGGAGGAAGCGGCAACAGTGGAGGGGGAGGTAGTAGGAGCAGCAGCAGCGGAGGAGGATGCACCATCAGCAGCAGCAGTGGAGGGGGAGATGGCAGCAGTGGAGGGGGAGATGGCAGCAGTGGAGGAGGAGATAGCCGCAACGGCGGAGGTGCTGGATGTTGCCATGCAGCCTGATGGTGCGGATGACACTAAGGGTGGTGAGGTCATCGAGGAGCGCCTCATGCAGCAGTTCATCACGGAGGAGCTCGATCCAGTTGTGGCGAGGGGGTTGCGGATGTCGGATTCAGAGATGGGAACCCACTTCGACTTTGACATGTCGATGGGCGCTCCCCCTAGTTGCGGTGGAGCGGCATCGACGGATTGGGCACCATCGAGGGACGAGGTGGCAGGCGAGACGCGGACGCAGACCCCGAGAGATAGGACGATCACAGAGTCTCCAGATATAACACGCGACATCATGGAGCGAGAGAGAGCTCGATTGATGACATCCAGCAACCCACGTGCTCAGGTGTTCGCACAGGCCTTGGAGGAGCGCAGGCGTCGAGTGACAGGGAGAGATGGTGGGCAGGGTGGGGTAGTGGTGGGGGAGGACGCTATGGAGGTCATGGCAGCAGAGGCGGAGGAGGGTATGGAGGGTGGGCCACATGCAGTGGATGAGGCTATGGAGGGTGGAGAGGGGCGAAACGGGGGGTCTGGAGATACACGTGTGGAAGGTCATGAGACACAGATGGATCCAGTCGTCCTGTTCTCGGGCCTGGACCCGGTCGAGGCCCGACGGTCGTAGCCGGCTGAGGTGGCAACGCATAATGTGCCACCTGTTATCATCGAGGATTTGGGGTCCGAGCCGATGGTTGTGTTTCCACGTCCTCGACGACCGGCTTCGCAGGAGGTCGATCATCCATTGGATGCCGAGGAGTTGGTAGCGGTCGCTGTGCGCGATGTGACTCGACTGGACCGCCAATTATTTATTCCGAAACTCAACCAGCCCCATCGGCAAAGGATTCCTTCAGTTCCATGGGGCCGTGCGTTGCCGGTGTGGTCCGGGTCTGAAGGGACGCTGATGACGCTGGTGTGGGGGAGGACTGCAGGATACCAAGTTGGGGAGAGAGGAGGTGTGATCCACTAGGAGGATGTGTGTGGGAAGAGGAGGGGGAGGGAAGAGAGGAGGGGGGTGTGGTGGCACGCGACTCCATCTGTGACATCCGGTCCGACGAAGTATCAAAGTTGGTTTGGATGGCCGTGAATTTTGCCTCGAATGTGGCCCGCATGTGCTGGAGGATGGCCATTACCGGGTCTGACTGGGTGGCGAGCCCCGAACTGGAGGGCGCAAGGGTGGGAATCTCCGCCGGGTCAGACATGGTGTCACGAGCTAGAAACGCAAGGCCTTCGCTGATGGAGCGGGAGGGACTCGCTAGCTCAGTACTCTGCATAGAGTCAGGGGATGAAGACAATGAAGAGGGGGAAGTGTGATGAGAGCGGCGCTCAGTAGCAGCGATCGATGCGTCAAAGCGAGCGAGTCGGTGTGTGGCACAGGCGTCTCGGGTGCGATTTTGGAGTACATGTTGCTTGTTGTCACGGGGAGCTAGATTGGCATGCAGAAAAGGAGCGAAGAAAGGAAGGCGTCTCGAAATGAGATCAAGCAAACTTCCGAAAGTAAATAAAAAAAATTCAGAATCGGATTGAGGGAGGAAGGGAAAAATTTCCAATTGGAGCAGGCAAATGGGAAGAAATTTTCAAAGAATAATAAGGGGTATAGAGGAGAGTATGTATAAGAAAATCACGAATTCAAAATAAAAAAATTCCAAAATTATTTAGACGTAAATTCAAAATTAAAAAAAAAATTAAGCAAAATATAATGAATTGCAAAAATATTCGCAAAAAATTCCAAAAGTTTGGGGAGATACTAAAAGAGGTAGAGATGAGTGTGGAGGAGAATTTTGAATCAAATGGAATTTTTCTTGACGTATTTATGGAATTAAAAGAATTTCAAAGGCGATTTAAAATAAAATTAGAAGACTAATTCCTAATTGAAGAATTTACGATAAAATGGCAGAAAGAATTTAATGGCAGTCAAGTACTTTGAATTGGGAGGAATTTCATAATTATTTGGATGAAATTAAAAAAAAATATTTTCAGAGAATTCTTGAAGACTTCTAAAAGAATTTCAAAAAGAATTGCAGAATTTTGGAATTTTATGAGGGATAAAAAGTAGAAGTAAAGTGGACATCAGAAGGATTAAATTTATAAATTCCAAATTTTATTTCACGAATTTATGAATTAAAATCAATTTTTAAACTAATTTATGAAATAATTTGATATAATAAAGAAGTTCACGTAACTTTTGAACAAAAACGCCGCAATTAATTCCGTTCACGGCATGGGAAGAAGAATGAACGAAGATTAATCCTATCGAATTAGGTTGACGTTCCACAAAGCGGGATGGACGGCATTGTCAAACAAGCACAAAAAGAGGATGTACTCGTTACGCTCGTTAGGAATTTTAGATGATGTGATCAATTAGGTGGGATGGGAGAGGAGGAATGGGGGAATGGAGAGGAGATAGAAGAAGAGGAAAAAAATGAGAACTTTGGGAGAGATCGGCGGAAGGAAGGGAGGGAATTAGTAAGAGGGAGTGAAATTCACAATACCGTGCTCCCGGTCGGTCGGGAGCAATCAAGGCCCTCCCTCCTAGTTGAGGAAGGTCTTCAATCAACCCCTAAAGGGTCTTCGCGATCGTTTCCCCGGTGGAACGACGAGGTCGCCGGATTAAATGCGCGAACTGATGATGACGAGCCAATACAATTATAACGCCAACAATGGCGGCAGTGACGAGGACGATGATGATGTTGCTACTGATGATGATGATCGCGGCCACGAACCAGTTATCCGTGTGCTCTCACAGTTTTTTTTTTTTTTTTTTAAAGGGTTGTAGAGGTGCTGGGGGTTATGACCCAGGGAGGATGTCCTACAGTTCCCGTGCCGGGGTCAGCCCCACTGGTGGTGCAACAGGCCCACCCACTACCCAGTGATCGCTCAAGGAAGGAGCACTCGATCCTCGCAACCCACCCGGGAGTATCGGCCCAGACCAGCGCTACCAGGCCGCCAGCGGCAGGGGTCACCCCTCCCCTACTCCGGGCTTCACCTCCCTGTGGC